CTCCCTCCTTCATCCACAGCTCTCTCCTTCATCCACAGCTCTCTCCTTCACCCACAGCTCTCTCCTTCATCCACAGCTCTCTCCTTCATCCACAGCTCCCTCCTTCATCCACAGCTCCCTCCTTCATCCACAGCTCTCTCATTCATCCACAGCTCTCTCCTTCACCCACAGCTCTCTTCTTCACCCACAGCTCCTTCACCCACAGCTCCCTCCTTCATCCACAGCTCCCTCCTTCATCCACAGCTCTCTCCTTCATCCACAGCTCTGTCCTTCATCCACAACTCTCTCCTTCATCCACAGCTCTCTCCTTCATCCACAGCTCCCTCTTTCACCCACAGCTCCCTCCTTCATCCACAGCTCTCTCCTTCACCCACAGCTCCCTCCCATCCACAGCTCTCTCCTTCATCCACAGCTCTCTCCTTCACCCACAGTTCCCTCCTTCATCCACAGCTCTCTCCTTCATCCACAGCTCCCTCCATCCACAGCTCCCTCCTTCATCCACAGCTCCCTCCCATCCACAGCTCTCTCCTTCACCCACAGCTCCCTCCCATCCACAGCTCTCTCCTTCACCCACAGTTCCCTCCTTCATCCACAGCTCCCTCCTTCATCCACAGCTCCCTCCTTCATCCACAGCTCTCTCCTTTGCACACAGCTCCCTCCATCCACAGCTCCCTCCTTCATCCACAGCTCCCTCCTTCATCCACAGCTCTCTCCTTCATCCACAGCTCCCTCCTTCACCCATAGCTCTCTCCTTCATCTACAGCTATCGCTTTCATCCACAGCTCTCTCCTTCATCCACAGCTCCCTCCTTCATCCACAGCTCCCTCCTTCATCCACAGCTCCCTCCTTCATCCACAGCTCTCTCCTTCATCCACAGCTCCCTCCTTCATCCACAGCTCTCTCCTTCAACAGCTCCCTCCTTCATCCACAGCTCTCTCCTTCACCCACAGCTCTCTCCTTCACCCACAGCTCCTTCACCCACAGCTCCCTCCTTCATCCACAGCTCCCTCCTTCATCCACAGCTCTCTCCTTCATCCACAGCTCTGTCCTTCATCCACAACTCTCTCCTTCATCCACAGCTCTCTCCTTCATCCACAGCTCCCTCTTTCACCCACAGCTCCCTCCTTCATCCACAGTTCCCTCCTTCATCCACAGCTCCCTCCATCCACAGCTCCCTCCTTCATCCACAGCTCTCTCCTTCACCCACAGCTCCCTCCTTCATCTACAGCTCTCTCCTTCATCCACAGCTCTCTCCTTCATCCACAGCTCCCTCCTTCATCCACAGCTCCCTCCTTCATCCACAGCTCTCTCCTTCATCCACAGCTCTCTCCTTCATCCACAGCTCCCTCCTTCATCCACAGCTCTCTCCTTCATCCACAGCTCTCTCCTTCATCCACAGCTCTCGCCTTCATCCACAGCTCCCTCCTTCATCCACAGCTCTCTCCTTCATCCACAGCTCTCTCCTTCACCCACAGCTCTCTCCTTCATCCACAGCTCTCTCCTTCATCCACAGCTCCCTCCTTCATCCACAGCTCTCTCCTTCACCCACAGCTCTCTCCTTCATCCACAGCTCCCTCCTTCATCCACAGCTCTCTCCTTCATCCACAACTCTCTCCTTCATCCACATCTCTCTCCTTCATCCACAGCTCTCTCCTTCATCCACAGCTCTCTCCTTCATCCACATCTCTCTCCTTCATCCACAGCTCCCTCCTTCATTCACAGCTCCCTCCTTCATCCACAGCTCTCTCCTTCATCCACAGCTCTCTCTTTCATCCACAGCTCCCTCCTTCATCTACAGCTCTCTCCTTCATCCACAGCTCCCTCCTTCATCCACAGCTCTCTCCTTCATCCACAGCTCTCTCCTTCACCCACAGCTCTCTCCTTCATACACAGCTCTCTCATTCATCCACAGCTCTCTCCTTCACCCACAGCTCTCTCCTTCACCCACAGCTCCTTCATCCACAGCTCTCTCCTTCATCCACAGCTCCCTCCTTCATCCACAGCTCCCTCCTTCATCCACAGCTCTCTCATTCATCCACAGCTCTCTCCTTCACCCACAGCTCTCTCCTTCACCCACAGCTCCTTCACCCACAGCTCCCTCCTTCATCCACAGCTCCCTCCTTCATCCACAGCTCTCTCCTTAATCCACAGCTCTGTCCTTCATCCACAACTCTCTCCTTCATCCACAGCTCCCTCTTTCACCCACAGCTCCCTCTTTCACCCACAGCTCTCTCCTTCATCCACAGCTCTCTCCTTCACCCACAGCTTCCTCCTTCATCTACAGCTCTCTCCTTCATCCACAGCTCTCTCCTTCATCCACAGCTCCCTCCTTCATCCACAGCTCTCTCCTTCATCCACAGCTCCCTCCTTCATCCACAGCTCCCTCCTTCATCCACAGCTCCCTCCTTCATCCACAGCTCTCTCCTTCATCCACAGCTCTCTCCTTCATCCACAGCTCTCTCCTTCATCCACAGCTCCCTCCTTCATCCACAGCTCTCTCCTTCATCCACAGCTCTCTCCTTCATCCACAGCTCTCTCCTTCAACCACAGCTCTCTCCTTCATCCACAGCTCCCTTCTTCATCCACAGCTCCCTCCTTTATCCACAGCTCTCTCCTTCATCCACAACTCTCTCCTTCATCCACATCTCTCTCCTTCATCCACAGCTCTCTCCTTCATCCACATCTCTCTCCTTCATCCACAGCTCCCTCCTTCATTCACAGCTCTCTCTTTCATCCACAGCTCCCTCCTTCATCTACAGCTCTCTCCTTCATCCACAGCTCTCTCCTTCATCCACAGCTCCCTCCTTCATCCACAGCTCCCTCCTTCATCCACAGCTCTCTCATTCATCCACAGCTCTCTCCTTCACCCACAGCTCTCTTCTTCACCCACAGCTCCTTCACCCACAGCTCCCTCCTTCATCCACAGCTCCCTCCTTCATCCACAGCTCTCTCCTTCATCCACAGCTCTGTCCTTCATCCACAACTCTCTCCTTCATCCACAGCTCTCTCCTTCATCCACAGCTCCCTCTTTCACCCACAGCTCCCTCCTTCATTCACAGCTCTCTCCTTCACCCACAGCTCCCTCCCATCCACAGCTCTCTCCTTCATCCACAGCTCTCTCCTTCACCCACAGTTCCCTCCTTCATCCACAGCTCTCTCCTTCATCCACAGCTCCCTCCATCCACAGCTCCCTCCTTCATCCACAGCTCTCTCCTTCATCCACAGCTCCCTCCTTTCCCCACAGCTCCCTCCTTCATCCACAGCTCCCTCCTTTCCCCACAGCTCTCTCCTTCATCCACAGCTCCCTCCTTCACCCACAGCTCCCTCCTTCATCCACAGCTCCCTCCTTCATCCACAGCTCCCTCCTTCATTCACAGCTCCCTCCTTCATCCACAGCTCCCTCCTTCATCTACAACTCTCTCCTTCATCCACAGCTCTCTCCTTCACCCACAGCTCTCTCCTTCATCCACAGCTCTCTCCTTCATCCACAGCTCCCTCCTTCATCCACAGCTCCCTCCTTCATCCACAGCTCCCTCCTTCATTCACAGCTCCCTCCTTCATCCACAGCTCCCTCCTTCATCTACAACTCTCTCCTTCATCCACAGCTCTCTCCTTCACCCACAGCTCTCTCCTTCATCCACAGCTCTCTCCTTCATCCACAGCTCCCTCCTTCATCCACAGCTCCCTCCTTCATCCACAGCTCTCTCATTCATCCACAGCTCTCTCCTTCACCCACAGCTCTCTCCTTCACCCACAGCTCCTTCACCCACAGCTCCCTCCTTCATCCACAGCTCCCTCCTTCATCCACAGCTCTCTCCTTCATCCACAGCTCTGTCCTTCATCCACAGCTCCCTCCTTCATCCACAGCTCTCTCCTTCATCCACAGCTCTGTCCTTCATCCACAGCTCCCTCCTTCATCCACAGCTCCCTCCTTCATCCACAGCTCCCTCCTTCATTCACAGCTCCCTCCTTCATCCACAGCTCCCTCCTTCATCTACAACTCTCTCCTTCATCCACAGCTCTCTCCTTCACCCACAGCTCTCTCCTTCATCCACAGCTCTCTCCTTCATCCACAGCTCCCTCCTTCATCCACAGCTCCCTCCTTCATCCACAGCTCTCTCATTCATCCACAGCTCTCTCCTTCACCCACAGCTCTCTCCTTCACCCACAGCTCCTTCACCCACAGCTCCCTCCTTCATCCACAGCTCCCTCCTTCATCCACAGCTCTCTCCTTCATCCACAGCTCTGTCCTTCATCCACAGCTCCCTCCTTCATCCACAGCTCTCTCCTTCATCCACAGCTCTGTCCTTCATCCACAACTCTCTCCTTCATCCACAGCTCTCTCCTTCATCCACAGCTCCCTCTTTCACCCACAGCTCCCTCCTTCATCCACAGCTCTCTCCTTCACCCACAGCTCCCTCCCATCCACAGCTCTCTCCTTCATCCACATCTCCCTCCTTCATCCACAGCTCCCTCCATCCACAGCTCCCTCCATCCGCAGCTCCCTCCTTCATCCACAGCTCCCTCCTTCATCCACAGCTCCCTCCTTCATCCACAGCTCCCTCCTTCATCCACAGCTCTCTCCTTCACCCACAGCTCCCTCCTTCACCCACAGCTCCCTCCTTCATCCACAGCTCTCTCCTTCACCCACAGCTCTCTCCTTCACCCACAGCTCCCTCCTTCACCCACAGCTCTCTCCATCCACAGCTCCCTCCTTCATCCACAGCTCCCTCCTTCACCCACAGCTCTCTCCTTCATCCACAGCTCCCTCCATCATCCACAGCTCCCTCCTTCATCCACAGCTCCCTCCATCATCCACAGCTCCCTCCTTCATCCACAGCTCCTTCCTTCATCCACAGCTTCCCTCCTTCATCCACAGCTCTCTCCTTCACCCACAGCTCTCTCCTTCACCCACAGCTCCTTCACCCACAGCTCTCTCCTTCATCCACAGCTCTCTCCTTCATCCACAGCTCTCTAATAAAATTTCAATCAACCGAAAAAACTTATAAAAATGTTTATTCAACAATCACGACAACGGTCCGATAACAGAGGGTTTTTGCGTTGTGTTAGATCGCGTGAATATATAAATGTTGTGTTGTTAAACCCGCCACCACACGACACAGCTAACGAGAGGAAGGGTTGTCACGAACAAAACGTCAATTCGTCACTAGTACAGCAACTGGCGAGACGTCACGGCAAATGTTGTGGCTTGTAGTGTGGTGTAGTAGTGTATAGTGTAGTGTAGTAGTGTATAGTGTAGTGTAGTAGTGTATAGTGTAGTAGTGTATAGTGTAGTGTAGTAGTACAGCACTAGTGTATAGTGTCGTGTGTACACTATACACTAGTGCTGTACTAGTACACTACACTATACTACATACTACACACTACACACTACATACTACACACTACATACTACACACTACACTACACTATACACTACACACTACACTACACACTACACTATACACTACACTATACACTACACACTACACTACACTACACACTCCACACTACACTACACTCTACACTACACTATATACTACACTATACACTACACTACACTATACACTACACTATACACTACACACTACACTAGACTGATGTGGTTTTGCTCTGCAACACAACCGCTGTGCGCTGTGCTCGTGACGACCTGGCCCCCTTCTGTTCACACGACACTCACGTTTCCTGGGTGGCTGTGGCGGGTGGTGGCGGGTTTAACGACACATTCATCTACTTACACGATCTAACACCCCCCACACACCCCCCCCCCCCCCCCCCAAAAAAAAAAACAACCTCAATTACGGATGACATTGGTAGCGAAAGCGTCTGTGTTAAAATGACAATAGGTACATTCATACTTAGAGACACACACATCATTGAAGAGACACACCCAACGCAACCACACACACAACGCACCACACACACACACACACAACGCACCACACACACACAACGCACCACACACACACAACGCACAGACACCGCACCACACACACAGCACACACACACCGCACCACACACACAACACACACACACCGCACCACACACACAACACACACACACCACGCAACCACATCGCACCACCCACACACAACACACACACAACGCAACCACACACACAACGCACCACACACATGACACACGCATCACACACACACACGCTAGACACTCCACACACAGCACACAACACACAGACACACACACACACAATAGACACACCACACCACACACCACACACGCACTACACACCTGGACAATCTTGCCTGCTGGTAAAATCCGTCACGGGTGGCTGAACCGTGGAACTCAAAATCCATCCGAACCGGCTCAGTGCATTCACCAAAATCATCATCATCGTCACACAACCATCAAGTCGACGGACATACACACACACACAGAGACAGACACACACACACAGAGACAGACACACACACACAGAGACAGACACACACACACAGAGACAGACACACACACACAGAGACAGACACACACACACAGAGACAGACACACACAAAGATACACACACACACACACAGAGACACACACAGAGAGACAGACACACACACACAGAGACACACACACACACACAGAGACACACACACACACACAGAGACAGACACACACAGAGAGACAGACACACACACAGAGACAGACACACACAAAGATACACACACACACAGAGACAGACACACACAAAGATACACACAGAGACAGACACACACAGAGACAGACGCACACAGAGATACACACACACATAGACACACACACACACAGACAGACAGACACATTCACACACAGACAGACACATTCACACACAGACAGACACACACAGAGAGACAGACACACACACAAAGAGACAGACACACACACAGTGCGACGTTGACCACCACCATCACCACCGCCACCGCTTGCTGAGTCAACTCAACTAAGCAGCAGCAGCAGCAAGCATCGTCATCGTCGTACGAACCATTACCAACAACAGCCACAACAAAGTTCTCGCAAATTTCGATGTAAAGCTTTCGTGACTGCTATACAGGGGATCTTTGTCTTTTGCGTGCACCTAGCCTGGCACAGTGGGGGGCACAGCTGGTGCATCGGGTGGTCGTCTCGGTCAGTCAACCCGTGGCACCAGCTGGGTCTGCCCCATGACCTCCTGCACCTAGCCTGGCACAGTTGGTGCATAAGCCGGTCATCTCGGTCAGTCGACCCGTGGCACCCGCTGGGTCTGCCCCGTGACCTCCTGCACCTAGCCTGGCACAGTTGGTGCATAAGCCGGTCATCTCGGTCAGTCGACCCGTGGCACCAGCTGGGTCTGCCCCGTGACCTCCTGCACCTAGCCTGGCACAGCTGGTGCATCAGCCAGTCATCTCAGTCGACCCGTGGCACCTGCTGGGTCTGCCACGTGACCTCCTGCACCTAGCCTGGCACAGGTGGTGCATCGGCCAGTCATCTCAGTCGACCCGTGGCACCAGCTGGGTCTGCCCCGTGACCTCCTGCACCTAGCCTGGCACAGCTGGTGCATCAGCCAGTCATCTCAGTCGACCCGTGGCACCAGCTGGGTCTGCCCCGTGACCTCCTGCCGGCGAGGGGCGTTCGACACGTCACATGATGGCCTTAACGTGCACCTAGCCTGGCACAAGCGTCGTCACTGCCACTTAGTGGCGAACGGCGGCTCGTCCCTCTTGAAGGAGTCGTCCCTCTTGAAGGAGGAGGAGTCGTCCGACAAGGAGGAGGAGGTCTCCAGTTTCTCCGACGACACCTCGACTCCCTGGGCACACGGCGTGGGTTCAGATTCACCGTGACGAGTTTCACCACCACCCCTACTACCACTACCACCACCACCACCACCCCTACTACCACTACCACCACCACCCCTACTACCACTACCACCACCACCCCCACTACCACCACCACCCCTACTACCACTACCACCACCACCCCCACTACCACCACCACCCCCACTACCACCACCACCCCCACTACCACCACCACCCCCACTACCACCACCACCCCTACTACCACCACCACCCCTACTACCACCACCACCCCCACTACCACTACCACCACTACTACCACCACCACCCCTACTACCACAACCACCACCCCTACTACCACTACCACCCCCACTACCACTACCACCACTACTACCACCACCACCCCTACTACCACAACCACCACCCCTACTACCACAACCACCACCACTACCACCACCACCCCTACTACCACAACCACCCCTACTACCACCACCACCACCACTACTACCACCACCACCCCCACTACCACTACCACCCCTACTACCACCACCACCCCCACTACCACCACCACCCCCACTACCACCACCACCCCCACTACCACCACCACCACCACCACTACCACCACCACCCCCACTACCACCACCACCCCTACTACCACTACCACCACCACCCCCACTACCACCACCACCCCCACTACCACCACCACCCCCACTACCACCACCACCCCCACTACCACTACCACCCCTACTACCACCACTACCACCCCTACTACCACAACCACCCCTACTACCACTACCACCCCTATCACCACAACCACCACCACTACCACAACCACCACCACCACCACCCCTACTACCACAGCTCCACCCCCAGCAACCAGCTCCACCCCCAGCCTCCAGCTGCACCCCCAGCTGCACCTGCACCGGCCTCACCGCGTGGCTGCGGTTCGTGCATTTGTCGTGCTCGCAGCCGCAGCGCTGCTCCGAGCACTTCACGCCAGCCCGCTGACAGCCGCACTGCCGCGTGGCACAGCGTCCGGTACAGCGACACTGCACAGCACAGAGACACCACCACCACAACCACGCTTAGTAGCAGCAGTAGTAGTAGCAGCAGTAGTAGCAGCAGTAGTAGCAGTAGTAGCAGCAGTAGCAGCAGTAGTAGCAGCAGTAGCAGCAGCAGCAGTAGTAGTAGCAGCAGTAGTAGCAGTAGCAGCAGCAGTAGTAGTAGTAGCATCAGTAGTAGTAGTATCAGCAGCAGTAGTATCAGCAGCAGTTGTAGTAGCAGCAGCAACAGTAGTAGCAGCAACAGTAGTAGTATCAGCAGCAGTTGTAGTAGCAGCAGTATCAGCAGCAGTTGTAGCACGTGTACTGTACGTGCGTGTACATGCGTGTACATGACTGTATGTGCGTGTACGCGCGTGACTGTACGCGCGTGTACGTGACTGTACGCGACTGTACGCGCGTGTACGTGACTGTACGCGCGTGTACGTGACTGTACGCGCGTGCGTGTACGTGACTGTACGCGCGTGCGTGTACATGACTGTACGCACGTGCGTGTACATGACTGTACGCACGTGCGTGTACATGACTGTACGCACGTGACTGTACGTGTGCGTGCGTGTACGTGACTGTACGTGAGTGTACGTGACTGTGCGTGTGCGTGCGCTCACCCTGGAGGCCGTAGCGTTCTTGCTGCGTCGCTGCAGCGCGGGTCTGGCTGCCACCCCCGGCACTGCGCCGCCACTTGGCTTCGGCCGCCAGTCTGCGTCCTCCACCGCCGCCGCCGACGCCGACGGACCCTCCGAATCGGACGTCTCCGACTCGGAGATGATTTGCGACAGGGTCACGAGGGCTCGCGTGCGGGCAGAAGGACGACGTGGCTTGGCCGTGGACGACTTCTGCTGGGTCGCGAACAAAAGGCGGAGGTCACACACCCCTACTACCACCACCACCCCTACTACCACCACCACCCCTACTACCACCACCACCCCTACTACCACCACCACCCCTACTACTGTAGTAAGTATTTAGGAGGCTTGACGACAGGGTCGGAGGCACACTTATTTATTACACCAACTTGTGCACAGTAACGGGTACACACAGTACTTAAGGGGGTATCGTCCCCTTCACTTGGCTACAGGGATACACAACATCTAACCCCGCTAACCTACGCCCAAGTCCTCCACTACGGAGCTAGGGGAGGCTATCTATCCCAGCCCTGGTCAAGCTGGGATCCCGGCACCCTGAGTCTCCAGACCGGCTCGTCAGTCTGGGCTCTCGGGGCCACGCCACCGGCTTGCCCTGGTCGGCCCTGATAAGGACAGCGAGCCAGGGGAGCTCTGGGGCCTATTCTAGCTGGTCTTCCGTCTTCGCTGGTTAAAGCTGATCTCGACCTCGAGCCCTCCGGCTCACCACCTTTTATAGGACTCGGCCCCCGAGAGGGGCCCGTGGGGGATGCAGGTGCGGACGTCGGTGTGAGCACCTCCCCTGTGTACGGCCCTAACCCCGCCCCTTGTGTTTGTTAGCCATCCGTGGCCATGCACAATTACACCTCTACATCCGTGGCCATGCACAATTACACCTCTACACTACCACCACCACCCCTACTACCACCACCACCCCTACTACCACCACCACCCCTACTACCACCACCACCCCTACTACCACTACCACCCCTACAACCACGACCACCCCTACTACCACCCCTACTACCACAACCACCACCCCTACTACCACTACCACCCCTACTACCACCACCACCCCCACTACCACCACCACCCCCACTACCACAACCACCACCACTACCACCACCACCACCACCACTACCACCACCACCCCTACTACCACTACCACCACCACTACCACCACCACCACCACTACCACCCCTACTACCACCACCACCCCCACTACCACTACCACCCCCACTACCACCACCACCCCCACTACCACCACCACCCCCACTACCACCACCACCCCTACTACCACCACCACCCCTACTACCACCCCCACCCCTACTACCACCACCACCCCTACTACCACTACCACCCCTACTACCACTACCACCCCTACTACCACCACCACCCCTACTACCACCACCACCCCTACTACCACTACCACCCCTACTACCACTACCACCCCTACTACCACCACCACCCCTACTACCACAACCACCCCTACTACCACCACCACCCCTACTACCACCCCTACTACCACCACCACCCCTACTACCACAACCACCCCTACTACCACTACCACCCCTACTACCACTACCACCCCTACTACCACTACCACCCCTACTACCACCACCACACCTACTACCACCACCACACCTACTACCACCACCACACCTACTACCACCACCACCCCTACTACCACCACCACCCCTACTACCACTACCACCCCCACTACCACTACCACCCCTACTACCACAACCACCCCTACTACCACTACCACCCCTACTACCACCACCACCACCCCTACTACCACTACCACCCCTACTACCACCACCACCACCCCTACTACCACCACCACCACCCCTACTACCACTACCACCCCTACTACCACCACCACCACCCCTACTACCACTACCACCCCTACCACCACCACCACCCCTACTACCACAACCACCCCTACCACCACTACCACCCCTATCACCACAACCACCCCTACCACCACTACCACCCCTATCACCACAACCACCACCACTACCACAACCACCACCACCACCACCCCTACTACCACAGCTCCACCCCCAGCAACCAGCTGCACCTGCAGCTGCACCCCCATCTCCACCCCCAGCAACCAGCTCCACCCCCAGCCTCCAGCTGCATCTGCAGCTGCACCTGCAGCTGCACCCCCAGCTGCACCTCCAGCTGCACCGGCCTCACCGCGTGGCTGCGGTTCGTGCACTTGTCGTGCTCACAGCCGCAGCGCTGCGCCGAGCACTCCACGCCAGCCCGCTGACAGCCGCACTGCCGCGTGGCACAGCGCCCGTTGCAGCGACACTACACAGCACAGAGACACCACCACCACAACCACGCTTAGTAGTAGCAGTAGTAGCAGCAGTAGCAGCAGTAGCAGCAGTAGTAGTAGTAGTAGCAGCAGTAGTAGCAGCAGTAGTAGCAGTAGTAGCAGCAGTAGTAGTAGTAGCAGTAATAGCAGCAGTAGTAGTAGCAGCAGTAGTAGCAGCAGTAGTAGCAGTAGTAGCAGCAGTAGTAGCATCAGTAGTAGCAGTAGTAGCAGCAGCAGTAGTGTAGAGGTGTAATTGCGCATGGCTACGAAAGGTGTCGTGTGATTATGCATGGCCACGGATGGCCAACAAACACAAAGGGCGGGGTTACGGCCGTACACAGGGGTGGCGCTCGCACCGACGTCCGCATGTACATCCCCCACGGGCCCCCCCTTTGGGCAAGTCCTATAAAAGGTGATGAGCCGAAAGGCTCGGGAGTCGGGACTCAGCTTTAACCAGAGAAGAACGAAGACCTGCTAGTATAGGCCCCGGAGCTCCCCTGGCTCGCTGTCCTTCTAAGGGCCGACCAGGGCAAGCCGGTGGCGTGGCCCCGAGAGCCCAGACGAAGCTGGTCTGGTGACTCAGGGAGCCGGGATCCCAGCTTAACCAAGCTGGGACAGATAGCCTCCCCTAGTCCCGTAGTGGAGGAGTTGGTATAGGTTAGAGGGGTTAGCTGTCGAGAAATCCCTGTAGCCAAGTGACCTGTACAACTGTGTTGGTGTAATAAATAAGTGTGCCTCCGATCCTGTCGTCAAGCCTCCATATATACTTACTACATCTGGGGTCAGAAGTAAACGTCCAACGATGGACACACGAGGGACGACACGTACCAGGGAGTCGGAGATGGAAGACGCCGCGGCCGAGTCTCCACCAGTGGTGGCCGTGGTCGAGTCGGAGCAGCCGGGGCCGAGTGCGCCCGCGCCGCTACGATGGGAGGAGGGGGATGCGTCGGCCGAAGGACTCCGGCTGGCCCACTCCCGCCTGGCGGACCTGTTTTACGCCGCGGCCGCCGCGTTGGAGGAGATCACGCGGCTGGGGGCTGGAGGAGCAGCGCGGGTCGACGACGGCAGCCGGCGCGGGGCGACGTTTCCCGCCACCCCGACGCGGCTCGCGGTCAAATTTCCCGCCATCTCTACAGTACGAGCGGAGGGCGGGGCCGGCCCGCGTCACGTGTCTGCTGAGCGCCAAGCACAAGCCGTGACATCATCAACGCCGGCCGGCGTGTCAACATCAGAGCGACCGGCGATGCCATGTGCACGGCCCGCCCACACTGTATCATCGGCGGGGAGCGACGGAGAGCGTTCTGCGGCCACGGACGCCGCCTTACAACAGCGTCTGCCGCCTCTTAAAGAATTTGTCGGCGCTGACGGAGACTGGGGCGGCTTCAAGAGGCGGTTCATCGCTCATCAAGAGATGGCGAACTGGTCGGACGCCGAGGCTCTACGCGCGCTGCCAGCGATGCTGGACAACGACGCCCTGGCTACCCTCACCTCGGCGCCGAGGGCAAAGCGCGCCACTCTACACCTGGCGTTGCAGCTGCTGTCAGCCGTCTATGGGCCGCCTTCGGACTGCAGGCAGCTGTTCCACGATCGGAGTCGGGGCGCCAACGAGTCACCCCTGGCCTTCCGGACGGCTCTCCTGGCTCTGGCGAAGGCTGCTTTCCCAAGGATGGACGAGGAAGGAGTGGATGCCATGGTGGCTGAGAAGCTGCTGCTACTCGCTGACGAGCTGGACGTCAACGTCCTGGCTCAGGACGACGCGGAGATGTCGTCCCTGCTGGTCGCGCGCCACATCCACGGGGGCTTGCGGTCCCTGCGTCGGAAGGCGGCAAAGGGGGCGGCCGGCCATGCCATGGCGACCACCGCCCTCCCATCGGAGGAGGTCTGCGGGGTGGAGCGGCGAGGGGAATGGAGATCGGCGGCACCGCAGGCTCGGAATGGACCGAGCCGCCAGGAGCAGCCCAGGTCATCTGGGGCGCTCACACGCTGCTACAACTGTGGCCTGCAAGGCCACGTTGCGTCAGGATGCCGGGCTCCCCGTCAGCGCGGGGCGACACCTCGTCAGGACGCCACGCCGTCTCCTCCCAAGCTCCAGCAGAGAAATACGGCGAGTCGCGGCACCTCACACGTTTGGCCCACGCACACATCCGACACACACTCACGCGCTCAACTAAACAGGGCTCCAAATTCCCCGTCCGTCGCGCGCGATTGTTCGGTAATGCGGCGAGCGCTCCAACCGGGTCAGTGGTCGGAGCTCGCCCATCGTGTCGTTGCTGCGTCGGCGGGATCATCGGTCGTCGTCGGTCACATTGATGGGGTAGAGGTGCGGATTTTAATTGACACAGGGGCATCGGCGACCATTATATCTGATTTAATTTATAACATCCTTCCCGTTCAAAGTCGTCCCTTGCTCCCTGTTGACGTGCCGTGCTATGCCGCTAACGGGGGCTCTCTGGGCATTATTGGCCAAATCCGCGCCACTATCTGCATTGGGGACATTAAATTATCCGGCCCTGTTTTGGTTTCCTCCTCACTCGCGGTTCCGTGCCTGTTGGGGACGGATTTTCTGGCCAAAATGCCCATCCGTATCCTTATTGACCAAGGGTGCATTGAGCTCCCATCGGGCCGACGCGTTACATTTCTGTCTTCCCCCACCACGGAGCGTCGGGCGTTTGCCACCGTGCAGGCGCTCGTCACAAAAACTGTGCGCGTGCCTCCGGGGGCTCAGATGCTCGTCCCTCTTAGGTTGCGTCGGCCGTTTGATGCAGGGGTTGCGGATCGGGGGGTCTTGTTGGGTCCATCTCGGGCCGGGGTCAATGGACCCGATTTGCTCGCGGCTCAGACTATGGTGAGAGGGGATGGGGACCCCTTCATTGCAGTCCTTAATGTGGGATCGCGAACGGCCGTGGTTCCTCAAGGGACCGTGCTTGCACACGCAACGCCGGTGCCCTATGAGGAACCACTCGTGGGTCAGGTATCCACCGATCCTCCGTCGCGACCGCATTCGGACTGTGATGACGGATGGCTGGATGCGCTTTGCGCGGGTTCAGTGGACCTGTCTGACTCGCAGCGCGCGCAGCTGCGAGTTCTCCTGAGCGAATTTGCTGACGTTTTTAGTCAACACAAATTTGATATTGGTTGTACAAAATTGCTGCGACACCATATTGACACGGGTGACACCGCGCCAATCCGCCAAAATCCCTTTCGGTTGAGTCCCGCCGAAAAGGATCATGTCAAATCGGCTGTTGATGACATGCTAGCCGCCGATATCATTTCCCCTTCCAACAGCCCGTGGGGCGCGCCGATCGTTTTGGTGAAAAAACACGACGGCTCACTGAGATTGTGTTGACTTTCGGCGTCTCAACAAAATCTCTGTGGCAGATGCGTACCCGCTTCCTCGGATGGATGAGTCGCTCGACGCCTTGGCCGGTGCGCGATTCTTTTCCACCCTTGATTTGCTATCTGGATTCTGGCAGCTTCCTCTGGATGACGAATCGAAACCTAAGACTGCTTTTCGTACACCGCAGGGCCTCTTCCAATTTAACCGCTTGCCGATGGGTTTACATTCTGCGCCGGCAACTTTTCAGCGGTTAATGGAATTGGTCTTGGCAGGTTTGCAATGGGATTCCTGTTTGATTTACTTAGACGATGTCATCGTCTTTAGCAAATCCTTCGAGGAACACCTCCAGAGGTTGCGTGCTGTTTTTCTCAAAATGCGGGCTGCCAATTTGAAATTTAAACCACAGAAGTGCCATTTACTCCGCGAATCGGTGCGATATTTGGGTCACATTGTTGGGCGCTCGGGGATATCCACTGATCCCGCCAAAACGGAATGCGTCGGCTCCTGGCCGACTCCCACCTCTGTGGGAGAGGTCAGGAGTTTCATTGGGTTCGCGTCGTATTATCGGCGATTTGTGGCTGACTTCGCTACGATTGCGAAACCATTGCATGCCTTGACGTCCAAGGGAGTCAGGTTTCATTGGGGGCCGGAGGAGGAGGCTGCTTTTCGCGCCCTCAGAAATGCTTTGGTGGGAGCTCCGCCGTTGAATTACCCGGATTTTTCACAACCCTTCTTGCTCGATACAGATGCAAGTAACACGGGCATCGGGGGCGTGCTGTCCCAGCTCATTGGGGGCGTAGAGCATGTGGTGGCTTACGGTAGTCGGGTACTGTCTCCAGCCGAACAGCGGTACTGCGTTACCCGTCGGGAATTATTGGCGATTGTTTATTTCATTCAGCAGTACCGCCCGTATCTGTACGGTCGGCGGTTCACCGTCCGTACAGATCATGCGGCCCTACAATACGCCCTGCGGGTTCAACAACCATCGGGCCAGTTGTCTCGATGGTTGGAGATTCTCCAAGACTATGACTTTGTCACCACATATCGTAAGGGTCTCCGCCACACGAACGCTGACGCCCTGTCGCGATTGCCACCCACTTCAGAGTGCGCGTGCCTCTTGGGTTCGGGGCGTTGTAGGCCTCCGAACGTCACCACCGAGTCGGTCCTCGTGGCCGCTGCCGATGCACCTTCGGTTTCGGGTCCTATTGAGCAAGAAGGGAGGGATTCGTTGCTGGGGTTGTCGGTCGCGGAATGGGGTCGCCTCCAAATGGAGGACACCTCCCTCCTCGCTCTGCGCCGTCGCGCCGGGGGGGTTGGCCAGGGGGTGGAAAACGTTGACTCGTGGGGGTTGTTCCAGGGACTTTTAATGCACTGGGATGGTAAAACCCGGCGCCAGCGGCTCGTGGTGCCTGCTGCTTTAAGGGGTAAGGTGGTATGGGCTGTTCATGAGCGGCTTCTGCACTTGGGGATTCATAAGACCTTTGCCACGCTCCAGCTAGATTTCTTCTGGCCGGGCATGGAAAAGGACGTGGGGGATCTCTTGGGGTCATGCACGCAATGCGCGCAGAGGAAGCCACCTGCTAGGGGGTCCAACCCTCCGCTGCAGTCCATAAAAGTTTCCCGGGTTAACGAGCTCGTCGCTCTGGACATACTTGGCCCATTTCCCGCTACGCCCAGGGGCAATAGGTATTTACTAACGGGGGTTGAATACTTCACGAGATGACCTATGGCCTGGCCCCTGGCGAACCAGTCGGCAGCAGCCATCGCGGAGGCCTTTGTCCAGGGCTATGTCCTCGACAAGGGTGCTCCGGAACGGCTGCTTACTGACCAGGGTAGGAATTTTTCTGGTAAACTCCTACGTGAGGTGTGCGACCTCTTGGGTACGGAGAAGGTTCGGACCTCTCCGTATCACCCACAAACTGACGGGATGGTGGAACGGCTGCATCGGATCATCACGTCCATGCTGTCCCAGCAGGTGTCGGTATCCCAGACGGATTGGGACCTCCGCATAGCCGGTGTGTTGCAGGCCTACAGAATGGCTCCTCATGCGGCCACCGGATTTTCCCCTTTCTTTTTAATGTATGGGCGCAAAGTTAACCCCCCTGTGGCGACCCAGCTGAAGCTCTCGGCGCTCCCGGCGAAGTCTAATTTGTCCGAACACGTTAAATTTAACATCGCTCAATTGTCTGAGGCGCGGGAAGCGGCCGTGCAAAATTCTGAACTCCGCCAGAAGGCGAGCGAGAGGCTTCGGTTGGGGCGGGTGCAGGTGGTCAAATGGGAACCAGGGGACAGGGCGTGGTTGCACTGTCCTCAGGTGCCGCTGGCAACCTCGTCGAAATTGGTACGGCCGTGGCGGGGGCCAGTGGAGGTCGTGCAGGTTTTGCGGCCGCAATGTGTTCGCGTCAAATGGGGGAGGCGCCGGTGGTATGTGCACCCCTCAAGGTTAAAACCATTTGTCGCGCCGCCCCGTGGTTCACACACACACACGCATGGCCAAACGTGTGAGGGTGTCGCCGACTCCCCGTCGTCGCTGCACTCGCCTAACCTGACGCCAACTGTTCCATCCCCAGGTGAAACAGGAGTGACGGGCCCACGCCCACCAACCCCTCCCGGTGGGGTCGGGGGTCACTCGGCAGCGACGCCTGACTCTCTGGCACCCGGACCGTCAACAACCTTCACTGAGCGTGCCAGGACGGGCCCTTGTGACGGGCCCGCCGCGAGAACGCGCGCCAAAACGCGCAGACTGTTGTGAGGTCGGCCGTTGGGGGGCCTTGCGGACAATGGAGAGGGTGTTGTGAGGTCGGCCGTTGGGGGGCCTTGCGGACAATGGAAAGGGTGTTGTGAGGTCGGCCGTTGGGGGGCCTTGCGGACAATGGGAGGGGTGGCGTCCGGAGTGTATATATATGTTGGTTTTGGGGTGCTTATTCAGGGAGGGCGCGTCGGGATATTTTTTTTTCCTCTCTCTCTCTCTCTCTTCCTCTTGTTGTTCTGTTAAGGTTCTCTTGTTCTTGTTAGAAATAATTTACGCGAGGCACACACACGGGGGTTTGTGAGGGATACACCTTTATTCAGATTTTTTTTGCAGCCAGGGACGGCTGCGAGCTGTACAGGGGGGGGTGATGTAGAGGTGTAATTGCGCATGGCTACGAAAGGTGTCGTGTGATTATGCATGGCCACGGATGGCCAACAAACACAAAGGGCGGGGTTACGGCCGTACACAGGGGTGGCGCTCGCACCGACGTCCGCATGTACATCCCCCACGGGCCCCCCCTTGGGGGCAAGTCCTATAAAAGGTGATGAGCCGAAAGGCTCGGGAGTCGGGACTCAGCTTTAACCAGAGAAGAACGAAGACCTGCTAGTATAGGCCCCGGAGCTCCCCTGGCTCGCTGTCCTTCTAAGGGCCGACCAGGGCAAGCCGGTGGCGTGGCCCCGAGAGCCCAGACGAAGCTGGTCTGGTGACTCAGGGAGCCGGGATCCCAGCTTAACCAAGCTGGGACAGATAGCCTCCCCTAGTCCCGTAGTGGAGGAGTTGGTATAGGTTAGAGGGGTTAGCTGTCGAGAAATCCCTGTAGCCAAGTGACCTGTACAACTGTGTTGGTGTAATAAATAAGTGTGCCTCCGATCCTGTCGTCAAGCCTCCATATATACTTACTACAGTAGCATCAGTAGTAGCAGTAGTAGCAGCAGCAGCAGCAGCAGCAGTAGTAGTAGTATCAGCAGCAGTTGTAGTAGCAGCAGCAGCAGTAGTAGCAGCAACAGTAGTAGTATCAGCAGCAGTTGAAGTAGCAGCAGTATCAGCAGCAGTTGTAGCACGTGTACTGTACGTGCGTGTACATGCGTGACTGTACGTGCGTGTACATGACTGTACGTGCGTGTACGCGCGTGACTGTACGTGCATGTACATGACTGTACGCACGTGCGTGTACATGACTGTACGCACGTGACTGTACGTGCGTGTACATGCGTGTACGTGACTGTACGTGCGTGTACGCGCGTGACTGTACGCGCGTATACGTGACTGTACGCGCGTGTACGTGACTGTACGTGCGTGTACGTGACTGTACGTGAGTGTACGTGCGTGTACATGACTGTACGCACGTGCGTGTACATGACTGTACGCACGTGCGTGTACATGACTGTACGCACGTGACTGTACGTGTGCGTGCGTGTACGTGACTGTACGTGAGTGTACGTGACTGTGCGTGTGCGTGCGCTCACCCTGGAGGCCGTAGTGTTCTTGCTGCGTCGCTGCAGCGCGGGTCTGGCTGCCACCCCCGGCACTGCGCCGCCACTTCGCTGCGGCCGCCAGTCTGCGTCCTCCACCGCCGCCGCCGACGCCGACGGACCCTTTGAATCGGACGTCTCCGACTCTGAGATGATTTGCGACAGGGTCACGAGGGGTCGCGTGCGGGCAGAAGGACGACGTGGCTTGGTCGTGGACGACTTCTGCTGGGTCGCGAACAAAAGGCGGAGGTCACACACCCCGCCGTGTAGCCTCGAACGGTGTAGGCGCAAGTGCTGCTAGTCGCCGCCACCACCACTACCACTACAACTGCCTCCACCACCTCCATTACAACCACCACCACCACCACCGTCCCTACTACCTTCACTACAACTACCACCACCACCACCACCACCACCACCGTCCCTACTACCTCCACCACCACCGTCTCTACAACCGCCACCACCACCACCACTGTCCCTACTACCTCCACCACCACCGTCTCTACAACCGCCACCACCACCGTCCCTACTACCTCCACCACCACCTCCACAACCACCACCACCACCACCTCCACCTCCGTCCCTACAACCTCCACTACAACCACCACCACCGCCGTCCCTACCACATCCTCCACCTCCACCACCTCCACCACCACCACCACCTCAACCACCACCACCGCCGTCCCTACTACCACCACCACCACCACAACCGCCTCCACCACCACCTCCACCACCACCACCACTTCCACCACCGTCCCTACAACCTCCACTACAACCACCACCACCGCCGTCCATACTACCTCCACCACCACCGTCCCTACTACGTCCACCTCCACCACCACCTCCACCACCACCTCCACCTCCACCACCACCATCTCCACCACCACCTCCACCACCACCTCCGCCACCATCACGCACTCACACGTGAGTGTACGTGTGAGTGCGTGAGTGAGTGTACGTGTGAGTGAGTGAGTGTCTGTGTGCATGAGTGAGTGTACGTGTGAGTGAGTGTACTTGTGTGTGAGTGAGTGTCTGTGTGAGTGAGTGAGTGTCTGTGTGAGTGAGTGAGTGTACGTGTGAGTGAGTGTGTGAGTGAGTGTCTGTGTGAGTGAGTGAGTGTCTGTGTGAGTGAGTGAGTGTACGTGTGAGTGAGTGTACGTGTGAGTGAGTGAGTGTACGAGTGTGAGTGAGTGTATGTATGTATGTATGTGTGAGTGAGTGTCTGTGTGAGTGAGTGTATGTATGTGTGAGTGAGTGAGTGTACGAGTGTGAGTGAGTGTATGTATGTCTGTGTGTGTGAGTGAGTGTACGAGTGTGTGAGTGAGTGAGTGTATGTATGTGTGAGTGAGTGAGTGTATGTATGTGTGAGTGAGTGAGTGTACGAGTGTGAGTGAGTGTATGTATGTGTGAGTGAGTGAGTGTACGTGTGAGTGAGTGAGTGTGAGTGAGTGAGTGTATGTGTGAGTGAGTGTGAGTGCGTGTACGTGAGTGTATGTATGTGTGAGTGAGTGAGTGTCTGTGTGAGTCAGTGAGTGTGAGTGAGTGAGTGTACGAGTGTGAGTGAGTGTATGTATGTGTGAGTGAGTGAGTGTACGAGTGTGAGTGAGTGTATGTATGTCTGTGTGTGTGAGTGAGTGTACGAGTGTGTGAGTGAGTGAGTGTATGTATGTGTGAGTGAGTGAGTGTATGTATGTGTGAGTGAGTGAGTGTACGAGTGTGAGTGAGTGTATGTATGTGTGAGTGAGTGAGTGTACGTGTGAGTGAGTGAGTGTGAGTGAGTGAGTGTATGTGTGAGTGAGTGTGAGTGCGTGTACGTGAGTGTATGTATGTGTGAGTGAGTGAGTGTCTGTGTGAGTCAGTGAGTGTGAGTGAGTGAGTGTACGAGTGTGAGTGAGTGTATGTATGTGTGAGTGAGTGAGTGTACGTGTGAGTGAGTGAGTGTGAGTGAGTGAGTGTATGTGTGAGTGAGTGTGAGTGCGTGTACGTGAGTGTATGTATGTGTGAGTGAGTGAGTGTCTGTGTGAGTGAGTGAGTGTGAGTGAGTGTACGAGTGTGAGTGAGTGTATTTATGTCTGTGTGCGTGAGTGAGTGTACGTGTGAGTGAGTCTGTGAGTGTACGTGTGAGTGCGTGAGTGTCCGTGTGCGTGAGTGTATGTATGTATGTGTGAGTGAGTGAGTGTCTGTGTGAGTGAGTGTATGTATGTGTGAGTGAGTGAGTGTACGAGTGTGAGTGAGTGTATGTGTAATGCGGGCGCGGGCGACCTCCCGGATGTGACGTCACGGAGAGGTGGAGTTAGGTGACGTGGGAGCAAGGTTAAGGTTCTTAAGGGAGGAGACCGGAAGAGGAAGGGAGAACGAGTGGGACTGGACCAGAGTAAGGCCACGTGGGCAAAGCCAGAAGGGGTGGCAGCAGCGGCCAGCGGTGGCCAGCTAAGGGAGCAGCCAGCGGAGCTGCGAGAGAAGACAGCGGTGGGGCTGCTGGAGAGAAGGCGGACGAGGAGCTGCGGGGAACACAGCCGGCGAGGCTGTGTGTGAGGGAGAGGCTACGAGAGCGACGAGAGGAGAGAGAGAGGCTGAGAGAACGACGAGAGGAGAAACTGCAGGAGAGCAGTATCAGTGTCGGTATAGAAGTCTTATAGAAGGACAGCCGTGTGGGTTGCGAGAGAAGAACCGAATAAAGGACACCAAGCCAGACTTCGTGGTCGAGTCCTTTATTACATTGGTGTCGGAAGTGCAACGGCATGTCGAAACAAGTGAGAAAGAAAAATGTTCCAGCGCCAGCATCGGCTTCTTCGTCCGAAGACGAAGACTTCCCTCCAAACATGGATCCTGCCGGGGTGGTGGAGGAGAGCCCTGCTGAAACGAGTGCGGGGACGGGAGTTGAAGATGTAGCCACAGTGTCAGGGCCGCCGACAACATCAGACGCTGATCTGCGATGGCTGCAGGTGGCGGAGCAACTGGAGACTCTCAAGGACGCCCTGGGCCAATTGTGTCATCTCGTCACCCCAAGGACGGCGACGGAGAGAGCGGAGAGTGCTCCACAGGCCGCCACGGTATCTTCACTCCCGGCGCCATTGGCCACGCGGCAGGAGGCCGCCATCTTGCGCGTTCCGCGGCGGGAAACCGCCATCTTGACCACGCCGCGGTTCGACGCCATTTTGAATTTGCCTCCGGAGGAACCATCGGCGGAGGGCGGAGTAAAGCGAAGTCGGAGTCGCCATCTCACCACGGTCAAAGAATTCGCCATTGGGGGCGACTGGAGCGCTTTCGCCTGCAGATTTTTGGCGGCGGTCCGTTCTGCGAGATGGACCGATGCTGAGGCCTTAGAAGTGTTGCCGACTCTTCTGGACGACGAATCTGTTCGTTTTTTTCGCTCCATTAAGGCCGAGAAGAAGAGGACATTATACGGAGTTTTTCAAGAAATGGCCGACGCCTACGAGCCACCTGACGACGCGCATCAGCGATTCGCTCAACGACAACGAGCGCCCGAGGAGTCGCCTGTGGCGTACAGGGGTGCAGTGCTTGATTTGGCTATGGCCGCGTATCCAGATACAACACCTGACCTGCTCGAGCCGTCGCGGGATCTTGGGATTCCCATGCCGGTGTGCGGGCATGAGAAGCTCACCTCCCGGGCGGCGGCGAAATGTCTGGATGCACAATTCAACCTACGACGATGGAAACAAGTCGCGGCGTGGACAGGGGGGCCCGTCGCAGAGGGTGGCGCTCTGGGTTGGGACCCTACGAAGTCGGTATACGTGGCATCTGTTGACATTCCACCTGGTTCACAGATGCTTATTCCCCTGCGGTATCGGAAGCCCCTGCCTGGTCGGCTGGGAGCGGTTGGGATCTTGTTGTCACCTTCAGCCTCGATAACGGCCGGGTTGGCGCTGGTCGGAGCGCAGACCATCGTCCGGCCAGATCAATTACCGTTTTTGCAGGTGCTCAATGCGGGTACTGAAAATGTTTGCGTCCCAGCCGGCACGGTTGTGGCACATGCCACCACGGCATTTACGGCTCACGATTGTTCGCATAGCCAGGGAGTGGTTGCTGGTGTTTCCGAGCCTGTGGCTTCGGATGACCGCTGGATTGCTAGCTTATGTGACGGAAATTCTTCCCTGTCTGTGGATCAACGGGGTGCGCTTCATAAATTGTTATTGACGTATTCCGATGTGTTCAGCTCCAATGATTTGGATTTGGGACGCACCTCGTTGCTTCACCATCACATTGATACAGGCGACGCTGCCCCTATTCGGTTGAATTCGCACCGAATGAGTCCCGCCGAGCGAGAACACGTTCGGGGGGCAGTGGAGGATATGTTGGCTGCGGATATTATATCGCCGTCGAACAGCCCATGGGGCGCGCCTGTGGTTTTGGTTAAGAAAAAGGATGGCAAATTGCGATTCTGTGTTGACTTTCGAAAATTGAATAAGATATCGGTGGCAGATGCGTATCCCCTGCCGCGTATGGACGACTCCCTCGACGCATTGTCGGGGGCTAAGTATTTCTCTACACTGGACCTCTCTTCGGGATTTTGGCAGCTTCCCCTTGACGAGCCCTCACGGGAGAAGACCGCATTCCGTACGCCGCAGGGGTTGTTTCAATTTAACTGCCTTCCGATGGGGCTGAATGCGGCCCCTGCCACATTTCAAAGGCTCATGGAGCTCGTTTTGACGGGGTTGCAGTGGGAGACATGTCTCATATATTTGGACGATATTATCGTCTTCAGCCGCACATTTGATGAACATTTAAGGCGGCTGGAGACGGTGTTCGCGAGGATGCGCTCCGCGAACTTGAAATTTAAACCAAAGAAATGTCACCTACTGCAACGGTCCGTCCGTTATTTGGGGCACATCGTGAGTGCTGAGGGGGTGTCTACGGACCCGGAAAAAACGGCGTGCGTCCGAGATTGGCCAACTCCGGTCACCGTGGGGGATGTACGTCGCTTTCTGGGATTTGCCTCGTATTATCGAAGATTTGTACCGAATTTTGCGACCATCGCGAGGCCCTTGCACCTCCTTACGGGTAAGGGACGTAAGTTTGCGTGGGGACCGCCAGAAGAGGCGGCCTTTCAGAGTCTGCGTAATCTGTTGGCTACCGCCCCAACATTGGATTATCCGGATTTCAATCAACCGTTCATTCTTGATACGGATGCGAGCGACACAGGTATTGGCGCGGTGTTGTCTCAGTCTAAAGGGAGTGTAGAGCGCGTCGTTGCGTATGGTAGCCGGGTCTTGTCGCCCGCGGAAACCCGCTACTGTGTCACTCGCAGGGAACTCCTAGCCGTTGTTTTTTTCCTACGTCAGTTTCGACCGTACCTGTACGGCCGTTCCTTTATCGTACGTACGGATCATGCGGCCTTGCAATATGCCCTTAAAATGGATCAACCTTCCGGCCAGCTGTCGCGTTGGTTGGACACGCTACAAGAATTTTCATTTCAAATTCACCATCGTAAAGGGGTGCGCCATGCGAACGCAGACGCACTTTCTAGATTGCCGCAGCGCTCCCCTTGCAAATGTGCGTCGGGGACGCAGAGATGTGCGCCCGGCCTACCCCCCCCTCAGCCGGTGGTATTGGCTGTGGAGAAGTCGGATGCTCCTGTGGAACCGGGGCCGACTGATGGGGTTTTGAATCTGCCACGGTCTGTTTGGATAAGGGAGCAAATGATGGATGAGTCGTTAGTGTCCTTGCGGAAGCGATCCAAAGTGGAGATTGGGGGTCCGGTTACGGAGGGTGCGCCGGAAACCGCGGTCCGAGATGGTCTGCTTATGTGGAGGGAAAGTCTCCAGGAACACTGGCGTCTAGTAGTGCCTGCGTCCCTACGATACGAGTTGATTAGAACTCTCCATTGTGACACGCTATTACATCTGGGTGTGCAGAAGACCCTGTTGACGTTGCAACGTCATTATTTTTGGCACGGCATGGCGACGGATGTCGTGGGGCACGTCCGCGCGTGCCCTGACTGTGCCCGGCGTAAGCCACCTAAACATCCTTATGTGCCACCCTTACAGTCAATTCAGGTGTCTCGGGTCAATGAATTGGTGGCACTGGACATTTTGGGACCTTTCCCACCTTCGGCGAGGGGTATTAAATATTTGCTGGTCGGGGTTGAGTACCTCTCCCGTTGGCCGATGGCCTGGCCGTTGCCCGACCAATCGGCCGCGGCCATTACCGACGCCTTTTTGTTCGGATATGTTATGGACAAGGGTGCGCCGGAGAGACTCCTTACGGATCAGGGCCGAAATTTTTCTTCTAAATTATTGGCGGAAGTATGCGCGGGCCTAGGGACTAAGAAGGTCCGGACATCCCCATACCATCCGCAAACGGATGGTATGGTTGAGCGGCTAAACCGGACATTGTCTGCCATGCTGTGCCACACGGTGAGTGAGCAACAATTGGATTGGGACCTGCACATCCCGGGGGTGCTTTCGGCGTACAGGATGACTCCTCATGCGGCTACGGGTTATTCGCCGTTTTACCTTATGTATGGTCGGGAAAACGTGCCGCCAATGGATGTGCAGATGGGAACCGGTGTAAGGGGACCTTGTAAACCGCTTCCTGACTACATTCGGGACACTGTTCGCCGGGTCTCGGAGGCGCGGGAGAGTGCCCGTGTGGCTACGGCCAAAGCTCAGGCCCGGAATGAGAGGTATGCACGGCGTTCCAAGGGGGAGTGCCCCTGGAAGGTTGGGGACCTGGCCTGGCTCCATTGCCCGCAGGTGCGGCCGGGTACCTCTCCCAAATTTCACAAACCTTGGCAAGGGCCCGTCCGCCTCATTGAGGTTCCTAACCCTCAGTCGGCGCGTGTTCAAATTGGTTCTCGTCGCTGGTTTGTTCACACGTCGCGCTTGAAACCGTATGTTGCTCCCCTACATGATGCTTCATCTCCCAATGTTGCCTTGCCGGGGTCTGTTGCTGCCGACTCTCCCCCGCCTGCGTCCATTGATCTTGCTAGAGCGCCTGTCGTACCTGTTCCAGGCAGGCCGGCCTTGACACCGGAGGGGACGAGGCGCCCTGCTCGGAGGGTGCCTGCCAGATCTGCGGGTCCTTCGAGCCCTGCAGCCCTTCCGACCCCGCTGCAGACACATCCGCGGGACACGCCCAAGACTGATCCTTCAGGGACACGGGACGTTGGTGGACTTCCAACAGCGACAGGGGGATTTCACCCTGTCGCTCCTCAAACTCAATCACGTTCCCGTTCCGCGGATGGGCCGCCGACCGTCCGGGACGGGCAAGCGACCCGCACACGCTCTAAATCCCTTGTGTTTCGTTGATTGTTATGTTGTGTTGTTCTTACTGTGTATTTATTGCCTGCTTCTGCTACGTTATTTGATTGTTGAGTTGTGTTGATTGTTCTTACTGTTATATTGCATGCTTGGTGTCCTTTGGTGTGTTACGCTCGGGTTCGCCCGCATTACTGTTGGTGTTGTTCAGCCGAGGTCGGCTGGGTTTTTCTCCACGGGGGAGGGTGGTGTAATGCGGGCGCGGGCGACCTCCCGGATGTGACGTCACGGAGAGGTGGAGTTAGGTGACGTGGGAGCAAGGTTAAGGTTCTTAAGGGAGGAGACCGGAAGAGGAAGGGAGAACGAGTGGGACTGGACCAGAGTAAGGCCACGTGGGCAAAGCCAGAAGGGGTGGCAGCGGCGGCCAGCGGTGGCCAGCTAAGGGAGCAGCCAGCGGAGCTGCGAGAGAAGACAGCGGTGGGGCTGCTGGAGAGAAGGCGGACGAGGAGCTGCGGGGAACACAGCCGGCGAGGCTGTGTGTGAGGGAGAGGCTACGAGAGCGACGAGAGGAGAGAGAGAGGCTGAGAGAACGACGAGAGGAGAAACTGCAGGAGAGCAGTATCATTGTCGGTATAGAAGTCTTATAGAAGGACAGCCGTGTGGGTTGCGAGAGAAGAACCGAATAAAGGACACCAAGCCAGACTTCGTGGTCGAGTCCTTTATTACATATGTATGTGTGAGTGAGTGTCTGTGTGAGTGAGTGAGTGAGTGTACGAGTGTGAGTGAGTGTATGTATGTCTGTGTGAGTGAGTGTACGTGTGTGTGAGTGAGTGTATGTATGTGTGAGTGAGTGAGTGAGTGTACGTGTGAGTGAGTGTATGTATGTGTGAGTGAGTGAGTGAGTGTATGTGTGAGTGAGTGTGAGTGCGTGTACGTGAGTGTATGTATGTGTGAGTGAGTGAGTGTCTGTGTGAGTGAGTGAGTAAGTGTGAGTGAGTGAGTGTACGAGTGTGAGTGTATGTATGTGTGAGTGAGTGTATGTATGTGTGAGTGAGTGAGTGTACGTGTGAGTGAGTGAGTGTATGTGTGAGTGAGTGAGTGTACGTGTGAGTGTGTGTACGTGTGAGTGAGTGTGAGTGCATGTATGTGTGAGTGAGTGTAGGTGAGTGACTGTACGTGTATGTATGTATGAGTGTACGTGTATGTATGTATGTATGAGTGTGCGTGTACGTGAGTGTCTGTGTGAGTGAGTGAGTGTGAGTGAGTGAGTGTGAGTGAGTGTATGTATGTGTGAGTGAGTGAGTGTACATGTGCGCGAGTGAGTGAGTGTACGTGTGAGTGAGTGAGTGTCTGTGTGAGTGAGTGTGAGTGCGTGTACGTGAGTGTATGTATGTGTGAGTGAGTGAGTGTACGTGAGTGAGTGAGTGTACGTGTATGTATGTATGAGTGTGCGTGTACGTGAGTGTCTGTGTGAGTGAGTGAGTGAGTGTGCGTGAGTGCGTGTACGTGTGAGTGTATGTATGTATGTGTGAGTGAGTGAGTGTACGAGTGAGTGTGTGAGTGTCTGTGTGAGTGAGTGTCTGTGTGAGTGAGTGTACGTGTGAGTGAGTGTCTGTATATATGTGTAAGTGAGTGAGTGTATGTACGTGAGTGTGAGTGAGTGAGTGTACGTGTGAGTGAGTGTACGAGTGAGTGAGTGTACGAGTGCGTGAGTGCGTGAGTGTCTGTGTGAGTGAGTGAGTGTACGAGTGAGTGAATTAGTGTCTGTGTGAGTGAGTGTACGTGTGTGTGAGTGAGTGTGTGTACGTGTGAGTGAGTGTATGTATGTCTATGTGAGTGAGTGAGTGTCTGTATGAGTGTGTGAGTGAGTGTGTGCGTCAGTGAGTATGTGAGTGAGTGTACGTGTGTGTACGTGTGAGTGAGTGAGTGTCTGAGTGAGTGTGAGTGAGTGTGAGTGAGTGTGAGTGCGTGTACGTGAGTGTATGTATGTGTGTGTGAGTGTACGTGTATGTATGTATGTGTGAGTGAGTGTGTGCGTGAGTGAGTGAGTGTATGTGTGAGTGTGTGTACGTGTGAGTGAGTGAGTGAGTGTCTGAGTGAGTGAATCTCTGAGTGAGTGTGAGTGAGTGTGAGAGCGTGTACGTGAGTGTATGTATGTGTGTGTGAGTGTACGTGTATGTATGAGTGAGTGTGCGTGTACGTGAGTGTGTGTGAGTGAGTGTACGTGTATGTATGTATGTGTGAGTGAGTGTGAGTGAGAGTGTGCGTGAGTGAGTGTACGTGTGAGTGTGTGTACGTGTGAGTGAGTGTCTGAGTGAGTGTGAGTGAGTGAGTGTGAGTGCGTGTACGTGAGTGTATGTATGTGTGTGTGAGTGTGTGTGTGTGTGATTGTACGTGAGTTTATGTATGTGTGTGTGAGTGTACGTGTATGTATGAGTGTGCGTGTACGTGAGTGTGTGTGCTCCATACTTGTCGGAGGGATTCGTTCTCCTCACGGAGTAGAGCCATCTGCTCACGCTGCTCCTTCTAGATCCAGTAACATCAACATCAACAACATCAACAACATCAACAACATCAACAACATCAACAACATCAACAACATCAACAACATCAACAACAACAACATCACAGCATCAACATCACAACATCAACATCACAGCATCAACATCACAACATCAACATCAACAACATCACAGCATCAACATCACAACATCACAACATCACAGCATCAACATCACAGCATCAACATCACAACAACAACATCACATCATCATCATCACAGCATCAACATCACAACATCACAGCATCAACATCACAGCATCAACATCACAACATCAACATCACAACATCACAGCATCAACATCACAGCATCAACATCACAACAACAACATCACATCATCATCATCACAGCATCAACATCACAACATCAACAATACATAAACATCACAACATCAACATCACATTATTTTATTATGTTTTATTTTTATTATTTTATTACTTCCCTTCTACGTGACTTTACCGAAAGAACCAAGAAGATGAATCCCTGCAGTCACGAAAGCTTTAAATCGAAAATCAACATCACAGCATCACAGCATCAACATCACAACATCACAACATCACAACATCACAACATCACAACATCAACATCACAGCATCAACATAACAACAACAACATTACAACATCAACAACATAACATCAACATCACAGCATCAACATTACAACATCAACAACATAACATCAACATCACAGCATCAACATCACAGCATCAACATGGGTGAGTGAGTGGGTGAGTAAGTGGGTGAGTAAGTGAGTGAGCGAGTGAGTGGGTGGGTGAGTGGGTGAATGAGTGGGTGAGTGAGCGGTGAGTCAGTGAGTGGGTGAGTAAGTGAGTGAGTGAGCGGGTGAGCGAGCGGGTGAGCGAGCGGGTGAGTGAGCGGGTGAGTGGGCGAGTGAGCGGGTGAGTGAGCGGGTGAGTGAGTAGGTGGGTGAGTGGGTGAGTGGGTGGATGAGTGAGTGAGTGTGTGGGTGAGTGAGCAGGTGAGCGAGCGGGTGAGTGGGTGGGCGAGTAAGTGGGTGAGCGAGTGAGTGGGTGGGTGAGTGAGTGAGTGTGTGGGTGAGTGAGCGGGTGAGTGGGTGAATGAGTGGGTGAGTGAGCGGGTGAGTGGGCGGGTGAGTGAGCGGGTGAGTGGGCGGGTGAGCGAGTGGGCAGGTGGGTGAGTGGGTGAGTGAGTGAGTGGGTGGGTGAGTGAGTAAGTGGGTGAGTGGGTGAGTGAGCGAGTGGGCGAGTGAGCGAGTGGGTGAGCGAGTGAGTGAGTGAGTGAGCGGGTGAGTGAGTGAGCGGGTGAGTGAGCAGGTGAGTGGGTGAGTGAGTGGGTGGGTGAGTGAGTGAGTGAGTAAGTGAGTGGGTGAGTGAGTGGTTGAGTGGGTGAGTGATTGAGCAGGTGAGTGAGTGAGTGGGTGGGCGGGTGAGCGGGTGGGCGAGTGAGTGAGCGGGTGGGCGGGCGAGTGAGTGAGTGGGTGGGTGAGTGGGTGAGTGGGTGGGTGAGCGATTTGGTGGGTGAGTGGGTGAGTGAGTGAGCAGGTGAGTGGGTGAGTGGGTGGGTAAGTGAGTGAGTGGGTGAGTGAGCAGGTGAGTGAGTGAGTGGGTGAGTGAGTGGATGAGTGAGTGAGTGGGCGAGTGAGTGGGTGAGTGAGTGGGTGAGTGGGCGAGTGAGTGAGTGGGTGGGTAAGTGAGTGAGTGAGTGAGCGGGTGAGTGGGTGGGTGAGTGAGTGAGTGAGCAAGTGAGTGGGTGAGTGGGTGAGTGAGCGAGTGAGTGGGTGAGTGAGTGAGTGAGCGAGTGAGTGGGTGAGTGAGTGGGCGAGTAAGTGAGTGAGTGAGTGAGCGGGTGAGTGAGCGAGTAAGTGAGTGAGTGAGTGAGCGGGTGAGTGGGTGAGTGGGTGGGTGAGTGAGTGAGCAAGTGAGCAAGTGAGTAGGTGAGTGGGTGGGTGAGTGAGCGAGTGAGTGAGTGAGTGAGTGAGCAAGTGAGTGAGTGAGTGAGCGGGTGAGTGGGTGGGTGAGTGAGTGAGTGAGCAAGTGAGTGAGTGAGTGGGTGAGTGAGTGGGTGAGTGGGCGAGTGAGTGAGTGAGTGAGCAAGTGAGTGAGTGAGTGAGTGGGTGAGTGAGTGGGTGAGTGAGTGAGCAAGTGAGCAAGTGAGTAGGTGAGTGGGTGGGTGAGTAAGTGAGTGAGTGAGTGAGTGAGTGAGCAAGTGAGTGAGTGAGTGAGCGGGTGAGTGGGTGGGTGAGTGAGTGAGTGAGCAAGTGAGTGGGTGAGTGGGTGAGTGAGCGAGTGAATGGGTGAGTGAGTGAGCGAGTGAGTGGGTGAGTGAGTGGGCGAGTAAGTGAGTGAGTGAGTGAGCGGGTCAGTGAGCGAGTAAGTGAGTGAGTGAGTGAGCGGGTGAGTGGGTGAGTGGGTGGGTGAGTGAGTGAGCAAGTGAGCAAGTGAGTGGGTGAGTGAGTGGGTGAGTGAGCGAGTGAGTGAGCGAGTGAGTGAGCAAGTGAGTGGGTGAGTGGGTGAGTGGGTGAGTGAGCGAGTGAGTGAGCGAGTGAGTGAGCGAGTGAGTGAGTGGGCGAGTGAGTGAGCAAGTGAGTGGGTGAGTGGGTGAGTGAGTAAGTGAGTGAGTGAGTGAGCGGGTGAGTGGGTGAGTGAGTGAGTGAGTGAGTGAGTGAGTGAGTGAGTGAGTGAGTGAGTGAGCAAGTGAGCAAGTGAGTAAGTGAGTGGGTGAGTGAGCGAGTGAGTGAGTGGGCGAGTGAGTGAGTGAGTGAGTGAGCGGGTGAGTGGGTGAGTGGGTGGGTGAGTGAGTGAGTGAGTGAGTGAGTGAGCAAGTGAGCAAGTGAGTGGGTGAGTGGGTGAGTGAGTGGGCGAGTAAGTGAGTGAGTGAGTGAGCGGGTGAGTGGGTGAGTGGGTGGGTGAGTGAGTGAGTGAGTGAGTGAGTGAGTGAGTGAGTGAGTGGGTGAGTGGGTGGGTGAGTGAGTGAGCAAGTGAGCAAGTGAGTAGGTGAGTGGGTGAGTGAGCGAGTGAGTGAGCGGGTGAGTGGGTGAGTGGGTGGGTGAGTGAGTGAGTGAGTGAGTGAGTGGGTGAGTGAGTGAGTGAGCAAGTGAGCAAGTGAGTAGGTGAGTGGGTGAGTGGGTGGGTGAGTGAGCGGGTGAGTGGGTGGGTGAGTAAGTGAGTGAGTGAGTGAGCGAGTGAGTGGGTGGGTGAGTGAGTGAGTGAGTGAGCGAGTGAGTGAGCGAGTGAGTAGGTGAGTGGGTGGGTGAGTAAGTGAGTGAGTGAGTGAGCGGGTGAGTGGGTGGGTGAGTGAGTGAGTGAGCAAGTGAGTGGGTGAGTGGGTGAGTGAGCGAGTGAGTGGGTGAGTGAGTGAGCGAGTGAGTGGGTGAGTGAGTGGGCGAGTAAGTGAGTGAGTGAGTGAGCGGGTGAGTGAGCGAGTAAGTGAGTGAGTGAGTGAGCGGGTGAGTGAGTGAGTGGGTGGGTGAGTGAGTGGGTGGGTGAGTAAGTGAGTGGGTGGGTGAGTAAGTGAGTGAGTGAGTGAGCGAGCGAGTGAGTGAGTGAGTAGGTGAGTGGGTGGGTGAGTAAGTGAGTGAGTGAGTGAGCGGGTGAGTGGGTGGGTGAGTGGGTGAGTGAGTGAGCAAGTGAGCAAGTGAGTGGGTGGGTGAGTAGGTGAGTGGGTGGGTGAGTAAGTGAGTGAGTGAGTGAGCGAGTGAGTGAGCGAGTGAGTGAGCGAGTGAGCAAGTGAGTGGGTGAGCAGGTGAGTGAGTGGGTGAGTGAGTGAGTGGGTGAGTCACCTGCAGGCTCTCACGCTGCTGATCTTCGTTTTGTGGCCGTGAGCTTCGCTGCAGCTGATTGAGCAGCAGGAGCACCTGCAGCAGCAGAAGCAACAGCAGCAGCATCAGCAGCAGTAGTAGTAGCAGCAGCAGCAGCAGAAGCAACAGCATCAGCAGCAGCAGCAGAAGCAACAGCAGCATCAGCAGCAGTAGCAGCAGTAGCAACAGCAGCAACAGCAGCAGAAGCAGTAGTAGCAGTAGCAACAGTAGCAGCAGCAGCAGCGTCAGTAGCAGTAGCAGCACCCTGGTGACACCCTCACTCCCCTCACCCCCTCCTCCCTCCCTCCCCCTCCCCTCCCTCCCCCTCCCTCCCCCTCCCTCCCCCTCCCCCCCCCCCCCCCCCTCCCCTCCCTCCCCCTCCCCCCCCCCCTCCCCTCCCCTCCCCTCCCTCCCCCTCCCCTCCCTCCCCCTCCCCTCCCTCCCCTCCCCCTCCCCTCCCTCCCCCTCCCCTCCCTCCCCCTCCCCTCCCTCCCCCTCCCCTCCCTCCCCTCCCCTCCCCTCCCCTCCCCTCCCCCCTCCCCTCCCTCCCCCTCCCCCTCCCCCCCTCCCCCTCCCCTCCCCCTCCCCCCTCCCCCCCTCCCCCTCCCCTCCCCCCCTCCCCCCTCCCCCTCCCCCCCCCTCCCCCTCCCCCCCCTCCCCCTCCCCCTCCCCCCCCTCCCCCCCCCCCCCCCTCCCCCTCCCCCCCCCCCTCCCCCTCCCCCCCCCTCCCCCTCCCCCTCCCCCTCCCCCCCCCTCGCCTCACCTTGTCCTGATGCTCCACCTCTAGGCGGCCGATCTCCCCGGTGAGTCTCTCCCTCTCCTCCCTCCCTCCCCCTCCCTCCCTCCCTCCCTCCCCCCTCTCCCCTCCCCCCCCCCTCTCCCCTCCCCCCCTCCCTCCCTCCCCCCTCTCCCCTCCCCCCCCCTCACCTTGTCCTGGTGCTCCACCTCAAGGCGGCCGATCTTTATGTTGAATCTCTCCCTCTCCTCCCGCGCCGCGTCTCTTTCCTCGGCGGCGCTGCGCATGGCGTCGTCGCGACCCTCACGCGCCTCGCGTAGATCCTCGCTGGCGCGCGCAGCGCACACACGCGCAGCCACCAACTGGCTCGCACGCACACGCGCCACGCACATGCACACACACGCACCACGCGCACGCACACACACACGCACGCACCAAACGCACCACGCACACCACACACACCACACACACATGCACACGCACGCACCAAACGCACCACGCATGCACGCACCACGCGCACACACAGGCACACGCACGCCACACACACGCACACACCACACACACGCACGCGCACCATGCACACACACCACACGCACACACCACACACGCACCACACACACACCACGCACGGGGACAAGTGCTGTTAGTAGCAGCAGCAGCGCCGATGAAGGTAGACACAGACAAAGCTCCCCCGTGTAGCCTTTAGCAGGCTTTAGGGGCAAGTGCTGTTAGTAGCGAGTAGCAGCACCACCCACCCCCCACCCCCCCCACCAGCCCCCCACCACCCCCCCACCTGATCGAGTAGCCAGCGCAAGGCACACTTGGCCTCCAAGATGGTGGCGATGGCGTCCCAGCGCTGGCGGCCGCCCCCCACCAGCCCCCCACCACCCCCCACCACCCACCCCCCACCCACCCCCCACCCCCCCCCACCAGCCCCCCACCCCCCCACCTGATCGAGTAGCCAGCGCAGCGCACACTTGGCCTCCATGATGGTGGCGATGGCGTCCCAGCGAGGGCGTCCGCGCTCTTCAGACGACACCCCCAGCAGCTTCTGCTGCAGGTCGGCGATCTGGGCGCTGCTGCACTCGGAGAGAGACGCACGCACACACACACGCACACACGCACACACACGCACACACGCACGCACACGCAGCGCACGCACACACACACACCGCACGCACACACACACACGCACACACACCGCACGCACACACACACGCACACACACACGCACACACACACGCACACACACACGCACACACACACGCACACACGCACGCACACACACACGCACACACACGCACACACGCACCACACCGTAGCGGCGTTTGGTCAGACCGGTGGAGGAAGAGAAATCCGATGAGCTGCAAGGCTCTTTTGCGGAGATGTTCTAGTCTCAACACCACCACCACCACCTCCACCTCACCACCACCCTCACCACATCACCACCACCACCATCACCACCTCCACATCAGCACCACCACTACCCTCACCACACCACCAACCTCACCACATTCACATCACCACCACTAGCCTCACCACATCACCACCACCACTACCACCGCCACCAGCGCATCACCACCACGACTACCCTCACCACACCACTACACTCACCACCACCACATTAACACCATCACCCTCACCACCTCCACATCACCACAACTATCCTCACCACATCGACATTACGACCACTACCTTCACAACTACCCTCATCACCCCCCCCCCCCCACTACCATCACTACCAACGCATCACCACCACAACCACCATCACCACATTCACACCACCACCACCACCACTACCCTCACCACCACCACCACCACCACTCACCGGAGCCCAATCTCCGTCTCCAGGCTGGAGATCTGCGGGCCGTGTTCCTCATCACAACCCACACCACCCACACCACCCCTACCCCAGCGCCATCACCACCCACACCACCCACACCACCCCTACCCCAGCGCCATCACCACCCACACCACCCCTACCCCAGCGCCATCACCACCCACATCACCCCTACCCCAGCGCCATCACCACCCACACCACCCCTACCCCAGCGCCATCACCACCCACACCACCCCTACCCCAGCACCATCACCACCCACACCACCCCTACCCCAGCACCATCACCACCCACACCACCCCTACCCCAGCGCCATCACCACCCACATCACCCCTACCCCAGCGCCATCACCACCCACATCACCCCTACCCCAGCGCCATCACCACCCACACCACCCCTACCCCAGCGCCATCACCACCCACACCACCCCTACCCCAGCGCCATCACCACCCACACCACCCCTACCCCAGCGCCATCACCACCCACACCACCCCTACCCCAACGCCACCACCACCCACACCACCCCTACCCCAGCACCATCACCACCCACACCACCCCTACCCCAGCGCCATCACCACCCACATCACCCCTACCCCAGCGCCATCACCACCCACATCACCCCTACCCCAGCGCCATCACCACCCACACCACCCCTACCCCAGCGCCATCACCACCCACATCCACCCCTACCCCAGCGCCATCACCACCCACACCACCCCTACCCCAGCGCCATCACCACCCACACCACCCCTACCCCAGCGCCACCACCACCCACACCACCCCTACCCCAGCGCCACCACCACCCACACCACCCCTACCCCAGCGCCATCACCACCCACACCACCCCTACCCCAGCGCCATCACCACCCACACCACCCCTACCCCAGCGCCATCACCACCCACACCACCCCTACCCCAGCGCCATCACCACCCACATCACCCCTACCCCAGCGCCATCACCACCCACACCACCCCTACCCCAGCGCCATCACCACCCACACCACCCCTACCCCAACGCCACCACCACCCACACCACCCCTACCCCAGCGCCATCACCACCCACACCACCCCTACCCCAGCACCATCACCACCCACACCAACCCTACCCTCACCACCACCACCACTACCCTCACCACACCACCACATCCACTAGCCTCACCACCACTACCCTCACCCCCACCACTCTCACTACCCTCACCACCACCACCACCCTCACCACTACCCTCACCACCACCACCACAACCACCACCACTACCACCACCACACCACCCTCACCACTACCACACCACCACCACCGCCACCCCTACCCCACCACCACCACTACCCTCACCACCATCACCACCACCACACCACCACCACCACCACCCTCAACACACCACACCACCACCACCACTACAACACCACCACCACCACCACCACAACACCACCACCACCACCACCGTCACTCGCTCACTCACCGGAGCCCAATCTCTGTCTCGAGGCTGGCGATCTGTGGGCCCAGTTCTTCTGAAGGTCTCAGGGCCTCCTCCAGCTCCGAGACCAGCAGGGTGCGACGCTGACCACGACAAAGACAAAGGTCCCCCGTGTAGCCTTTCAGACTGCTGGGGCAAGTGCGGCTAGCGAGTAGCAGCAGCAGCACCTATACACAAAGGTCCCCCGTGTAGCCTCTAGCAGGTTGCTGGGGCAAGTGCTGTTAGTAGCAGCAGCACATATACACAGACAAAGGTCCCCCGTGTAGCCTCTAGCAGGCTGCTGGGGCAAGTGCTGTTAGTAGCGAGTAGCAGCAGCACCTATACACAAAGGTCCCCCGTGTAGCCTCTAGCAGGCTGCTGGGGCAAGTGCTGTTAGTAGCGAGTAACAGCAGCACCTATACACAGACAAAGGTCCCCCGTGTAGCTTTCACAGACTGCCGGGGCAAGTGCGGCTAGCGAGTAGCAGCACCTGTGAAGGCTACCGAGGGAGTGGGCACGGTGCCGCTAGCAGCACGCCCGACCGCCTTTGTCTCCCCCGGCGGCGATGTTTATCACACGTCGCAACGGATACTCATTTGAGGCCGAGTCGACCTAGGGGAGGAGGCCCTTGGACCGATTCAGATGATCGTCACCGGTGGTGGCCAGGAGCGGGAATCGAACTCGGGTTCGTAGCGCGTCCCCACCCCACCCACCCAACGCGTCCCCACCCACCCCACCCACCCCACACACCCCACCCACCCCACCCACCACGTCCCCACCCCACCCACCCACCCCACCCAACGCGTCCCCACCCCACCCACCCACCCCACCCACCCACCCTGCCCATACCCACCCACCCCACCCACCCACCCACCCCACACCCCCCCACACGTACCCGGATCTTGCTGGGTGGCTGCTCGTTCCTCTGCTGCTGCTGCTGCTGCTGCTGCAGCTCCCGCAGGCGCGTCAGCTCGCTGGCGAGGACGGCGCGATCCTCCAGCAGGTCGGCGAGGTGGCGGCGAGCGTCCTCCGTGCTGACCAGCACCTCCAGCTCGTGCGCCAGCCACGTCTACACACACACACGCACGCACACACACACACGCACACACACGCGGCACACACACGCACACACGCACACACGCACGCACACACACGCACGCGCGCACACGCACGCACGCACACGCACGCACGCACGCACACGCGCACACACGCATACACACGCACACACACACACAGTCTCAAGCCGTATCGCCTTGACGTACTGCAGGGGGCGAGGGCGGTGACGGCGATGGTGGCGACGGTGAGGGTGGCGAGGGTGGCGAGGGTGGTGGTGGTGGTGATGGTGGTGAGGGTGGTGGGTGAGGGTGGTGAGGGTCGTGGTGAGGGTGGTGAGGGTAGTGATGGTGGTGAGGGTGGTGATGGTGGTGGGTGAGGGTGGCTACGGTGAGGGTGGTGATGATGGTGAGGGTGGTGGTGGTGGTGGGTGAGGATGGTGGGTGAGGGTGGCTACGGTGAGGGTGGTGATGGTGGTGAGGGTGGTGAGGGAGGCGAGGGTGGTGAGGGTGGTGAGGGTGGTGACGGTGGTGACGGTGGTGACGGTGGTGGTGGTGAGGGTGGTGGTGAGGGTGGTGGTGATGGTGGTGAGTGTGGTGAGTGAGTGGTGGTGGTGAGTGTGGTGGTGAGTGTGGTGGTGAGTGTGGTGGTGAGGGTGAGTGGTGAGGGTGAGTGACATCACCTTGACGCGCGTGGCGAGGGTCTCCATGCCTCTGCTCTGTGGTGATGGTGGTGAGTGTGAGTGTGGTGAGTGTGAGTGTGGTGAGTGTGAGTGTGGTGAGTGTGAGTGTGGTGAGTGTGAGTGTGGTGAGTGTGAGTGTGGTGAGTGTGAGTGTGGTGAGTGTGAGTGTGGTGAGTGTGAGTGTGGTGAGTGTGAGTGTGGTGAGTGTGAGTGTGAGTGTGGTGAGTGTGAGTGTGGTGAGTGTGGTGAGTGTGTGAGTGGTGAGTGTGAGTGTGGTGAGTGTGAGTGTGGTGAGTGTGAGTGTGGTGAGTGTGAGTGTGGTGAGTGTGAGTGTGGTGAGTGTGAGTGTGGTGAGTGTGAGTGTGGTGAGTGTGAGTGTGGTGAGTGTGAGTGTGGTGAGTGTGAGTGTGGTGAGTGTGAGTGTGGTGAGTGTGAGTGTGGTGAGTGTGAGTGTGGTGAGTGTGAGTGTGGTGAGTGTGAGTGTGGTGAGTGTGAGTGTGGTGAGTGTGAGTGTGGTGAGTGTGAGTGTGGTGAGTGTGAGTGTGGTGAGTGTGAGTGTGAGTGTGGTGAGTGTGAGTGTGAGTGTGGTGAGTGTGAGTGTGAGTGTGGTGAGTGTGAGTGTGGTGAGTGTGAGTGTGAGTGTGGTGAGTGTGAGTGTGAGTGTGGTGAGTGTGAGTGTGAGTGTGGTGAGTGTGAGTGTGAGTGTGGTGAGTGTGAGTGTGAGTGTGGTGAGTGTGAGTGTGAGTGTGGTGAGTGTGAGTGTGAGTGTGAGTGTGAGTGGTGAGTGTGAGTGTGGTGAGTGTGAGTGTGGTGAGTGTGAGTGTGAGTGTGGTGAGTGTGAGTGTGGTGAGTGTGAGTGTGAGTGTGGTGAGTGTGAGTGTGGTGAGTGTGAGTGTGGTGAGTGTGAGTGTGGTGAGTGTGAGTGTGGTGAGTGTGAGTGTGGTGAGTGTGAGTGTGGTGAGTGTGAGTGTGGTGAGTGTGAGTTGGTGGTGAGTGTGAGTTGGTGGTGAGTGTGAGTGTGGTGAGTGTGAGTGTGGTGAGTGTGAGTGTGGTGAGTGTGAGTGTGGTGAGTGTGAGTGTGGTGAGTGTGAGTGTGGTGGTGAGTGTGGTGGTGAGTGTGGTGGTGAGTGTGGTGGTGAGTGTGGTGGTGAGTGTGGTGGTGAGTGTGGTGGTGAGTGTGGTGGTGAGTGTGGTGGTGAGTGTGGTGGTGAGTGTGGTGGTGAGTGTGGTGGTGAGTGTGGTGGTGAGTGTGGTGGTGAGTGTGGTGGTGAGTGTGGTGGTGAGTGTGGTGGTGAGTGTGGTGGTGAGTGTGGTGGTGAGTGTGGTGGTGAGTGTAGTGAGTGTGGTGGTGAGTGTAGTGGTGAGTGTGGTGAGTGTGGTGAGTGTGAGGGTGAGCGTGTCACCTTGACACGAGTGGCGAAGCTCTCCATGCCTCTGCTCTGTGATGGTGAGTGTGGTGAGTGTGAGTGTGGTGAGTGTGGTGATGGTGGTGAGTGTGAGTGTAGTGGTGAGTGTGGTGAGTGTGGTGAGTGTGGTGAGTGTGGTGAGTGTGGTGAGTGTGAGGGTGAGCATGTCACCTTGACACGAGTGGCGAAGCTCTCCATGCCTCTGCTCTGTGATGGTGAGTGTGGTGAGTGTGAGTGTGGTGAGTGTGGTGATGGTGGTGAGTGTGGTGAGTGAGTGGCGAGTGTGTCACTACCTTGACACGAGTGGCGATGCTCTCCATGCCTCTACTCTGTGTTGATGAGTGTGGTGAGGGTGAG